TCTCTCGATACTGTTGCAACTGTGTGTAGAAGCTATGTGGTACTTGATCGCTGGGTGTGCGATTCCACCGATCACCAAATCGATCATGGCATCTACCATCCATCATGACAACATACCATCCCTACTGCTGAAGCCTACCGAGAATCCTCCTGGGCCTCTTCCCGAAGCTGGTCCTCGCACTTCACTATAGAATTCTCTGCTGCCTGTGACATCTGCTCGAGCCCGTCTATTTGAGCCTTCAGCCCCAGCGGGCCAGCTCCAGAATTTGTGAGTCGAGCCTGTTATTATCAATGGTCGTTGTCGAGTCCATCCCTCAGGTAAATCTGCGGTACCTTTTCTATGTTGGACCAGACGCTCTCGGGGACTTTAACATCCTCCTCGTCACTTCCATCACACTCTTGCTTCTGGACTGAAATGAATCCGAAGTCAACCCAGAAGAGCATCCCCAGCTGGAAGGCACGACACCTGCAGAGGGAAGGCCCCGCTCAGCTAAGGCATCGTTGATCAGCTCGGTCATGTGGGAGAGAGCGTCGTCTACTGGCCCTACAACTTGTGCCTCTAGTAGAGACCTAGTGAAAGAAAAATGCGATGAACGACCCGAACACAGTTAGTATGCTACTTGTATTGCTGTACCTTCTCACGAACACTTGCTGGAGCTAGATTATCCAGTATCTGTAGCCATGTGAGCAATTTCGTGGCGCGTGAAATTATCACCTTGCCATATTCTTTCATTTCCGCAGCGTACGGCTCAATAATGCTGTTCACTGTTATCGGTGTGGCCTTGACTAGACTGATCATCCCTATGGGCGATAGAGTCGATTTGTCCGGTACCTGAGTAGATAATTTCAATGGTTATAAACCCAGCCGTCGTCACTCACAACCTCCAAGTACACAGTATTGTTGTCCTTCTCCAGCTCCGCCAGTTCCTTATCTATAACGCTCCGCAACGCCTACCGAGAGGAGTTCACGCGCCTAGCCAGTAGAGCGTGTCCCACATACATCAACGTCCCGTATCAGCTTGTATTCATCAGCCAATGCATCAGCTTGCCTACATAGAC